TAATAAATATAATTTTCTCCCTCAATTAAGCAATGTTATAGGTGTATTTTTTTAAGTAATTGGCGATACTATTCTGGCAACACCCTTACCACCGCTATTTTAATCTGTTTAGTCATCTTCCGTACTCTCGTGCGCACAGACTACGTTCTCTTGTGTAACCGTTGTTTTTTGACTCGGCTTTCTCCTGTTTATCGTTGCGCTTTATTGGACTAATTTTGTTTGTGTTTGGTAATTTTGTTGAAAATGCCGAAACGAGGAAAAACATTGAATAGTCAATGTCGTGAGCTTGTACTAAAGCTACAGGATTACTTTGAGCGTGAGTCACAAAATGGTGGCCCTTTGATTCCTGTCACTTAAGTGAAAGATCGGGTTTCACAAGCTCTTGGAATTGGTGCAAAAACACTATATAATATAAATAAAGAAAAATTTGGTGCTTCTGGAAGTGAAGATAATGTTTTACGCACTCCTAAGAAAAAACGAAGACAAAAGCCCGTGACAGGTGTTGATGTTTTTGATGCAGATGCAATAAGAAACCACATATATGGTTATTATACTAGGAACGAGTTTCCAACTAGACGTTTGCTTTTGGTCTCTTTAAAAGAAGCTGGCTTGTTTAAAGGCGGTAAAACGGCGTTGTCAAAACTATTGCACGAAATTGGGTTTGAATATAAAAAAACGAATAAAAGGAAAATATTAATGGAAAGATTTGATTTAATAATTAAAAGGAGCGAGTTTTTAAGAGAAGCCAGAAAAATCGAGTCTTGGGACAACGTCGTTTTTGTTGACGAAACATGGTTAAATGCAAACCACACTGTGTCACGCTCTTGGACTGACGAAACAAAAGCATCAACCTCAAAGGTTCCAATTGGAAAAGGATCGCGACTGATAATTTATCACGCCAGTTCTGCTGGAAGTGGTTTCCTTGAAAATGAACTGCTGGCTTTCGCGTCAAAAAGTGCTTCCGATTACCACGAGATGGATACAGACACTTTTACGAATTGGTTCGAAAATCAATTATTACCCAGCCTGCCAGAGCCTTCTATCATAATAATGGACAACGCTTCATATCACTCGAAACAAGTGAATAAAGCGCCTACTCAGGCCGACAAGAAAGCTGATCTCGTAGCATGGCTACACCAAAATGGAATTGAAACTACTGCCGAAATGCTAAAGTCTGACTTAGTAAAGTTGGTACGCGAAAATAAAACATCAAGAGTCCGTTATCCGGCGTTACCATGGCCGACCGAAAGCGAAACGAAGAGATTCGCAATATGGCAGGTTTGAAAGATGACCTTATCACAAAAATTGATAAGGGCGTGCTTCGGTGGTTTGGGCACGTTGAGCGAATGAGTGAAGACCGAATGGTGAAGAAAATATATAGCGCGAAAGTTAATATTAAAAGGTGTCGAGGTAGACCGAGACTAACTTTCGAAGACCATGTGAGCAAATTGCTCGAAGAGGGTAGGGTCAAGAGTACTCGGATACCTAGACGTGCATGTATGAAAAAGATAATAAATCTGAAAGAAGCGAAAGAGGTATGTAAGGATCGTGACACTTGGCGATCTCTTCTCTCTGGCTACCCCGTCAGGGATTGTGCGTGAAGATAAGTAAGTAAGTAAGAGTCCGTTATGAAGTAGATGAGATAGCTCTAGCACATGGACATCGGGTACTTCGAATTCCGCCTTATCACGGCGATGGCTTCGCCTTCAGCCACAGACTCACCAGAAGAGGAGAGCACCGATGTCCCCGAGGTGACGCAAGCAGAGACGAGAGCGGCCGTGTCGCGACTCCGTGTTAAGAACACAACGCCCGGACCCGACGGAGCTCCTGGTCGAGCTCTCGTCCTGGCTCTGAAGGAGCTAGAGCCCCAGCTGAGAGGGCTCTTCACGGCATGTCTCGAGCAGGGTCAGTTTCCCAGTGTGTGGAAGGAGGGGAGGCTAGTCCTGCTCTGGAAGGAGGGGCGCCCCGCGGACTCACCGTCCGCGTACCGACCCATAGTGCTGCTCGACGAGGCGGGCAAACTTCTTGACTGAGCTGAGCCTGCTCGAGCTTGAGTTCGGCTAACCGCTCTTTCGCCTCTAACTCCGCGAGGAGTCTCTTGCGTGAGGCTACGGAGCGGCGCGACCTAGCTTCGTCGGGCTTTAATGTGCGCTGCGATCTTCGATCCTTTTCTTGCTGGGTTTCTTCCGTTGCGGCCGTGTTATCGGTCGCAGAGGTAGCGGTTGTATCGCTGACCGTTGTGGTTTCGCTCGTGGTGTTGGATGTACCACTAGCGGTTGAATCGCCCCCAGAGGACTCTTCTGTGGCCCCCTGGGTTATTTGTTCATCCTTGCGACGCTTCGATGATTCTCCGTTGTTACTACGTGTAATCACCATTTTTCTTCACAATAATATTTTTTCGTTCTTGCGGTTTGCTTCTTTCTTCCGGCAATACCAAGACCGATATTGTCTTTTTCTTCCAGTAATCCGGCTTCTCGAAGGACCATTAATGTTACGGATCGCCGTAACGCCGTTCGAAAAATGAGTGAAACACGTTGGTCTTGCTTACTACTGGAGGCAAGCGGCGGTGAGGAGGAACTTTTTCTTTTCTTGCTGTTGTTTTCTTTAATGTAGCTGGAGAGCGACTGCCGACCGTTCCGACCGGCCCGTCTTTTATACGATTCGGCCATTGCTGGCCAGCGGACCCTTGCCTCACCCCCGCGCCTTTCTTTATTTGGCAAATTTCTTATAAACTAATGTACAAACTTAAATATATTACATTTTTACAATTGCTTATTTAACTAATACTTATATAATAATTTTTCTACATAATAAAGGTTAAAACGTTATTATTCCAGCAATTTTGAGCTGAGGACCCTGCCCCCCGCCTCAGTACTATAAATATAAAACGTCGTGGCGCGGCGCGCGTAGCCTCATTCGCTCCGTGGCCGCGTCACGGTAACATGCCCTGTTTATTATTTATCGTGCCTAAGGGCTTAATATATATGAAATTAAATTGAACTATACAAGGGAATATACTTTACACATAATACTTATTCTACAATTTGGTATTGATTTATTTCTATATCCTAAATCTATGTTAACTCTCGCCAGTTGGTCGGTGCCTTTATTGCGAGAGTTATTACATAGTTACAATATCATTTGTTTAACAATAAATGCTATATTTCTTAATATTATTGCTACGGCTTTTCCCGCGTTGCTGTGGGCAACCACCGCTAGTTGTGGAACCGTGAGCGCGCCCCGACGATCATAACATTCTCCTGGCTCCGCCCACCGTCCCCAGGTTGTCCAACTAGCGATGGTTACCACAAGCAATCCGTAAGTCATTTCGTTCGAGGTATTGCTATGTTTGCGTCGTTTACACAGAGTACTACACTTTTGTACTGTAGAATACAAAATATTGACACTTTTTACGAAGACATTAAATTATTTTTCAATCCTAAGTAAAATGACGACAAAAAGTAAGTTTGGTTAAGCGTAAACTTCAGCCAAGAGATAGCAAAATGTTTATTTTATTTAAATTGCTCCGTTCTGTTGCTGCGTGAAAGAAGAACAAAAACAAATAAACAAAAAAATCACACTTTCACATTTATAATATTATATTAGTATGAATTGTCAAGAATGATAGATAAACTTTTAAAACCGGTTTACAATCGGCTTTTTGAGGGTGGAACTATACCGGTTACACTATACCGGTTCTGAGTGACCAAAAAGGATAGAAGCACAGGAAAGTGCAATTTCATGCTGCCAGATGTAGTTCAACCCTAACCCTTAAAACGGTTTAACTCTATAGGTTGGGTAAAATCTGTAAAATTAGACTGTTTAAAACCCCTATACAGATAACCATTGTGGTTGATCATGACATTAAAAATGGTAAAAACATTTCATAGACTAGGCAATACTCGAATATTATTGCGCAGTATTATTACTTGTATTGACATTTAGCTTTCGTATTCTTTTACAAAGAAATACACCATAAAATTGTATAGTTACTTATGAAAAGTGATGTTCTTATGCTTATCTTTTTTCCAAGAGTAATTTTTAAATGATTTCACAGCACAAACAGTCATTTTGCGAAATTAAAAACACCGGTGCGTGATGTATGTTCACAGGGAACGTTGCTGGCGTAATGGCGGAACGATCGAACGAATACGCCAATATTGGCGCCTTTGAAATGGAAGCATTTTAGGCGCGCGTACACGGTATCTGGACCTATAAAACATCTTTGGAAATTCCATAATTAAGAGATACTTCGCACCTTTAAAGACAAACCGTTACTAAACGAAACTTTTCGAGAATTGAGTTACTAACGCCATCTTTCTTAGAATTACGTATACTATACGATGAATTTTACAGTTTCATAAAAATTGCAATTTTAGAGATAGATGGCACTAAATTTGACCTTTACACGATGAAATAAAATTTGCTTGCTAAATGCAATATCGTGCTGAAACTAGTTGTTAAATGTTTGTTGAGGAGTGATGACGGAAGTTTGACAGAAAAGTGTGACTATTTGGATAACCACGGCAGCGCCTCAAGATAAAGGTAGGGGAAGGTTCGTTAAAGTGACCCAGGTGGGTAAATTGGCCACCTTCTTTTTAAAAACCAACCAAGTAGCGCCATTTGTCAACGGCTTATGGAAATTATTCATTGACCGACGCCATATGGCTCCAGTAAATACCAACTCGTTTAGTTCACGCGGACAGATTTTAAGACAAAAACGTTGGTTTTTGTGGTCTCTGATCTAAGGTAAGTGGTTTAAAAATTTTAATAATTTACTATGTTCAATATATATATAAATAACAATGTAATATTTTATCAGTTACTCCCTCTAATGAACTGTTATTTTTATTTAACGATAAAGGAGGACAATATAATCTTATTTGAAATTTGGTAGAGGCCTAGTCTGTAGGTAGGTAAAGTGACATAGTAGGTCACTTTACCCGTCTTAGTACTAATTTTTCCTGTGAATATAAATAATATTTTGTATTGTTTTAGATATGCCAAATACATATAAACGGACGTCGCAGCAGCAGACATGGGACCCGGTTGTGATGGAAAAAGCTATAAGAGTTGTAAGAAAAGAAGAAATGGGCTTCCTTACCACTAGCAAAGAATTCAAAGTTCCTCGGTCGACGCTGAAACAACGTGTAAAAGGAATAAACAAAGAAGCTGTAGAAAATATTAAAGTATTGGAGTCTCGCCGTCCATTTTTTAGTGCAGAGCAAGAAGAAGAATTGGTGCAACACATTTTAGGAATGGAAAAGCGATTTTATGGATTAACTTTGCAGGATGTAAGGAGACTTGCCTATCAGTTGGCTGAACGCAATAATATAAAACACAATTTTAATAAAGATACTCAAATGGCTGGAAAAGCCAAACTATCCACCTCATCGTATTTTTGAGTCTGGATTTACCACAGTGCAGAGCAAAAGCCCTAAAATACTTGCACAAATGAGAAAGAAGCAGGTGGGTGCTATCACCTTACCAGAGCGAGGTGTATTGAGCACCGTCGTGATTTGTATGGCTGCTAGTGGAAATTATATTCCCTCTTTTATTATTTTTCCTCGAAAGAGAATGAAGGTGGAACTACAAGATGGTACACCGCCGGGTACAGGATTTACTTGTGTTTCGTAGGGGCGGACGCAATTGGACATTTTTACGGATTGGTTTAAGTATTTTTTGATATTCGCCAAGCCGACTGAAGAAGATCCAGCTCTCCTGATTCTAGACGGACATAACACACATACAAAAAATTTGGATTTTATTGAATTAGCAAGAAAACGCCACACGACCGTGTTATGTTTGCCCCCACACTGCAGTCACAGACTTCAACCACTGGATGTGTCTTTCATGGGGCCTCTGAACAAGTATTAAATAAAACTTGAATTAATCTAAGACTACTTTTTATTGAAACTATGTCACTTTACCCGCTTTGTGGGTTTATGTAGGCCACTTTACCCAACCTGGGTAGGTAAAGTGGTCAATTTCCCATTTAGGCTTTAAACTTAAAAATACTAAAAAATGTCTTGATATAAGTCAAAATATGAAGGTGATGTCAAAACTACATTAGTTTGAGAGAATACAGTATAGTACGGCCGCTGAGTTATTACCGATTTGACAGATTATTCTTAAATTAATCGATATAACCTTGCACGAGCGACACATTTGCCGAATGATTTAGAATACCTCTTTAATATAAAACTATGTCAAAATGTCAGAATCAAGTAATTTTCCAATAAACTCTGTTTCAAAACTTAAAATAGTTTGTAAATAATATGAAAACATTTATTTTTTGTTCTTTGGCGCGCTTGTACAAAGTTACATCGTGCGTCTAGTTTTCATAGTGATGTGCTTGATAGTATTCGGTCCGATTTCATTGGAATAGATATGATATTTATTTTATTTGGATATTTTTATTTTACTTATTCCTTCGAGCAACTAGACTATAATGCTACCATTTTTTTGCGTCTCCTAATTGCACTGTGTTGCCAATATCTCTATGATTTTTAAGGTTTATGTGTGATCCAAAGACAGAAATACTGTTTTCTATGATTTAAAAATAAATACAATTAAAATGATTATGTATAATTTTTAACATTCATAATATATAAAACAACATTTAATAAATATAATTTTCTCCCTCAATTAAGCAATGTTATAGGTGTATTTTTTTAAGTAATTGGCGATACTATTCTGGCAACACCCTTACCACCGCTATTTTAATCTGTTTAGTCATCTTCCGTACTCTCGTGCGCACAGACTACGTTCTCTTGTGTAACCGTTGTTTTTTGACTCGGCTTTCTCCTGTTTATCGTTGCGCTTTATTGGACTAATTTTGTTTGTGTTTGGTAATTTTGTTGAAAATGCCGAAACGAGGAAAAACATTGAATAGTCAATGTCGTGAGCTTGTACTAAAGCTACAGGATTACTTTGAGCGTGAGTCACAAAATGGTGGCCCTTTGATTCCTGTCACTTAAGTGAAAGATCGGGTTTCACAAGCTCTTGGAATTGGTGCAAAAACACTATATAATATAAATAAAGAAAAATTTGGTGCTTCTGGAAGTGAAGATAATGTTTTACGCACTCCTAAGAAAAAACGAAGACAAAAGCCCGTGACAGGTGTTGATGTTTTTGATGCAGATGCAATAAGAAACCACATATATGGTTATTATACTAGGAACGAGTTTCCAACTAGACGTTTGCTTTTGGTCTCTTTAAAAGAAGCTGGCTTGTTTAAAGGCGGTAAAACGGCGTTGTCAAAACTATTGCACGAAATTGGGTTTGAATATAAAAAAACGAATAAAAGGAAAATATTAATGGAAAGATTTGATTTAATAATTAAAAGGAGCGAGTTTTTAAGAGAAGCCAGAAAAATCGAGTCTTGGGACAACGTCGTTTTTGTTGACGAAACATGGTTAAATGCAAACCACACTGTGTCACGCTCTTGGACTGACGAAACAAAAGCATCAACCTCAAAGGTTCCAATTGGAAAAGGATCGCGACTGATAATTTATCACGCCAGTTCTGCTGGAAGTGGTTTCCTTGAAAATGAACTGCTGGCTTTCGCGTCAAAAAGTGCTTCCGATTACCACGAGATGGATACAGACACTTTTACGAATTGGTTCGAAAATCAATTATTACCCAGCCTGCCAGAGCCTTCTATCATAATAATGGACAACGCTTCATATCACTCGAAACAAGTGAATAAAGCGCCTACTCAGGCCGACAAGAAAGCTGATCTCGTAGCATGGCTACACCAAAATGGAATTGAAACTACTGCCGAAATGCTAAAGTCTGACTTAGTAAAGTTGGTACGCGAAAATAAAACATCAAGAGTCCGTTATCCGGCGTTACCATGGCCGACCGAAAGCGAAACGAAGAGATTCGCAATATGGCAGGTTTGAAAGATGACCTTATCACAAAAATTGATAAGGGCGTGCTTCGGTGGTTTGGGCACGTTGAGCGAATGAGTGAAGACCGAATGGTGAAGAAAATATATAGCGCGAAAGTTAATATTAAAAGGTGTCGAGGTAGACCGAGACTAACTTTCGAAGACCATGTGAGCAAATTGCTCGAAGAGGGTAGGGTCAAGAGTACTCGGATACCTAGACGTGCATGTATGAAAAAGATAATAAATCTGAAAGAAGCGAAAGAGGTATGTAAGGATCGTGACACTTGGCGATCTCTTCTCTCTGGCTACCCCGTCAGGGATTGTGCGTGAAGATAAGTAAGTAAGTAAGAGTCCGTTATGAAGTAGATGAGATAGCTCTAGCACATGGACATCGGGTACTTCGAATTCCGCCTTATCACTGCCAGTACAATGCCATTGAGCTAATATGGGCACAAATCAAAGGTATTGGTTTTTATCGCATAAGTTATGAATATGAATAATTTGTACTATTATAACATCCAATATTCAGCATATAAGTAAAAAGATACATAACTAAGAAATAAATATCTCATGTCCCTTACATGTAGGTAATTGTGTAACATTTCGTTTATTTAATGTAATAAATTAACATATAAGTAACGCCGTTCGAAAAATGAGTGAAACACGTTGGTCTTGCTTACTACTGGAGGCAAGCGGCGGTGAGGAGGAACTTTTTCTTTTCTTGCTGTTGTTTTCTTTACTGTAGCTGGAGAGCGACTGCCGACCGTTCTTTTTTTTTTTTTTTTTTGCGCCCGAAGCAATTGGAAAAGGGCTACCCCGGAGGGAGGCGGAAATGCATTACGCATACCACGACAGCCGGTCTATCGTGGTTATGTGGGACTCACTGTGACTACCTACTGGGGAACCTAAGTGATACCCACTAAAACCGCCTTTGGGGACTGGCAACTAGCTGTTTAAAGCTTCTTATGCCGTATCGGAAGCGACCCTCTTTTGGGAAAAGAGGGCGCAGGCGGCTATTAGCCGCTGAGGGAGTGCCTACGAAGGCAAATTAATTATGAATAACTTAATTAGAGTTGGCCTGAGCCGCCAGGAGGCAGTTCAGGTCGTTTGAAAGTTTATTAGGCGGGTCCGAGAGGGAGTTCCTCGGCCTGCGGACGCTATAGCGGGAGGGGAGTGGGGCTGCATAATTAGCAGCCTCACGAATAAAATGATTGGAATGCGACTCTGAGGCTTTGAAGAAGTTCTCAGAGAGTTTTTTAAGGAATTGTTGAATTGTAGGGAGCTCTAGGTCCCGATGAAGGTCGGCATTGCGGACGTACCAAGGTGCGTTCGCAGCTCGACGACAGAAAAGGTTTTGAACTACTTGGAGTTCATTAATAATTTTAGGGTTAGAGTGGGCGAAAATGTGGCCCGCGTAGGACATGACTGGTCGTATACAGACCTTATAAAGGGTACGCTTGTTTCTGAGGGACATTTTACTGTGTCGGCCCAACATACTGTTGAGCCTATTCAGGTAAAAACGTGCGTGACGGGTTACTCTTTTGACGTGGGGCCTGAAAGTTAGCCCTGTGTCTAGAGTGACACCTAAATATTTGGCAGACGTATGCCAGGGGACAGGGGTCCCTAGCATACGTATTGGTGGAGTGTTTTTGAGACGGCGTCGTTTATAATCGAAGTGAACGGCGGAACTCTTCTCCGGGTTCACATCGATGCGCCATTTTTTGAACCAAGCTCCTAGGTCATCAACTGACTTTTGGACCTTGTTCCGTATGAAAGGTAGCGAGATACCTTTACAGTAGAGAGCAGTGTCGTCTGCGAAGAGGGAGAGCTGAACACCTTTCGGCGGAATGGGAATGTCGTTGGTGAACAGTATGTACAGCAGAGGAGCAAGAACTGAGCCCTGAGGGACACCAGCTTTGATGGGGCGCTGTGAAGATAGCGTGCCTTCGTGTCTAAAACGAAAGGTACGATGATTAAGATAAGAGGCCACGAGACGTACTAGACGATCGGCGAGACCTATTTTGTATAGTTTGTAGATAAGGCCTGTATGCCAGACTCTATCGAAGGCTTTGGCGATGTCGAAAAAGACCGCGATAGTCTTATGACGACGGGGATAAAAACCGCTGAGGATATATTCCACAATACGGTGAACTTGTTGGGGGCAGGAGTGTTTCGCTCGGAAACCGAATTGATGGGGAATGATAAGAGGGTCACCGTCTGTGGGAAACAGATGGCGCCTCATGCGATTTTGGATGACTCTTTCAAAGAGCTTGCCCATGGCCTTGAGGAGGCTAATGGGGCGATGACTGGAGGGGAGGTTGAGAGGCTTGCCTGGCTTGGGAATACCAATCACAGTTGCCTCTTTCCACGTAGTGGGAAAGTAACTAAGGTTGAAGCAGGCGTTGAAGATAATAGATAAAAGGATTAACACCTGCTCGGGAAAGTTTTTAAGGGCTTGGTTGGATATGCCATCCGCGCCCGGAGCCTTTTTAGGTTTAAGTCCTTTAATGA